TATATTACTACCTTAAATATTAAATTATTTAAAATATATATCTTAATTTAAATTTCTAAAATTATATACTAAATTTCACTTATAATATAATGCACCTTATACTACAATATAGTAATTTTATTTAAACAAAATAGGAACACAAAAGGATTCGATTTTAGCCCCTTTTTTTTTATTCTTTCGGTTGTTGTTAATTTATGCATTTAAGTAATGTGTTTACTCCTGATGCTTACCAAAAAATTTGAAAATGTTAATGAAAAAAGTAAAGTCAAAGTGAAATACCTTTTTCCCCTTCCACATCCATGTTAGAAATGCAAGAGATATGGGGCTTGCAATCCTTTTTGAATAGATTTGAAATGACTGCATCTGATGAGTAACTAATTATCAATTCCTGCAGGGTAATATTTTGGAGAATATATTCCGGCAACTTCTTTAGCTTCGGACAATGATAAATTGTCAAGGAAGAAAGACATGGCATGATTTCTCCTCTGCTTCCATAATCCCACTCTTCCCACTCTTCCCACTCTTTCACCCCATCAAACTTCAGTGTCTTCAAATTGGGGAAGGCAACAACGGATGATGAAGATGTAGACAAAGACATTTCTATCCCCAAAAATTCAACTCCCACCTTTTTTACTTCCCGCATACCATCCACCGTGAGTGATTCTAGAGAAAGCAATTTCCCCAAGGGAAATTCTAATGTTTCCAATTCATTAGCTTGGCTCACCGGCAAACCATTGAGATCAAATTTTAGAGTCAAATTAGTAATCCCCTTCTTATTCTGTAGTTGTGCCTTTTCTACTTCCCTTTGATCTCTAACACTTCCCAATCCTCCTATGCTAAGACTCCCACGAAGATGATTCAAGTTCCCCAAATCACTGAGTGCAGCTCCTTTATGAGTTACCACAAACACATTCAATGTTTTCAAACTAGTCAATTTCTCCAGACCTTTAGGCATGAAATTCAGAGTTGTCCTCTCATTCCGAAGATGCAACAAGTTGATAAGATTTCCCATTTTATGAGGAAGTCTTTTAAGTCTGTAACATCCACTAATGTCTAATATAAGCAAATTAAACAAGTCACACACTGCCTCAGGCAATTCCTTTAACTTGTCATTTTTTGACAAGTCAAGATGCCTCAAATGTATCAATTTGCCTATTTGTTTTGGACACTTTTTAATTCTAGAATCTGAACATTTCAATATCCTAAGACATTTAAGCCTATCAAACAATTTCAATAATTCAATATGAGAAATAGGATTTGTTCCATTTGACTCAATAAGCAAAGTGCGCAAGTTTTCAGTGCAAGTCTGAATAGCAATAGTCTCTTCTGTTTGCATCAGCAAAAAGAGATGACGAGTTTTGCCATTGAAACATTGAATGCTGCTACTACTTCCCATTGTCAAACACTCACCTCTAGTCAGAAACATAGCAAAATCATGCACCATGTCATGCATTTTGCACTTGATAATGCCACCATTGTCATCCATTTCAAAATCTTGAAATAAGAAGCGCATTGACAGGTCATTAAAGTTGTTTTCCCCTACCATCTCCATATCTTGAGTCCCCTTGAGAAAACCTTGTGCCATCCATAACTCGATTAACATTTTTTTCTCTATCACATAGTCTTTTGGAAAGATTGCACAATATGAGAAACACTGCCTCAAGTGTGGTGGTAAATCAAAATAACTAAACATTAAGGAGTGGAAAAGACCTTGTTCAGCCTCTTCAAGTTCCCATACTTCACTTTCCAACACACTTTGCCATTCTATTATGCTTTTTTTCCAGCGCATAAGGCCACCTAATGTCTTCAAAGCAAGTGGCAAGCCTTTGCACTTTTTTGCAATTTCTCTAGCAGTTTCTTCCAAACTTCTACAATCATCATTAGACCTCCCAAAAAAAGCAATTTGACTAAACAATGACCAACCTTCTTCTCCAGATAACTGTCCCACTTTGAACAATTCGCAGCCCATGCTTACCGCCACTTTCTCCTTACGAGTGGTCACTAAGATCTTACTTCCTTGGGAACCATTACTCAACAACAAGTGTTTCAGTTGATCCCACTTTCCATACTCTTCAGTCCACACATCATCTAGGACAAGTAGGAATTTCTTACCCTCGATTGAGGTTTTAAGGTATAGCAATACATCCTCCAATTTGTCTAACCTTTCAATAGTATCCCTCAACTTCTCC